TATCTTGGAAACATCAAATAGAGATCATAAACAGCTTGCAAGCGAGTACCTATATATAAACCCAAACACACGAGACGGCGAGAGGAAAAACAAAATTAGGTCACCACAACAACTTCAAGAATGGCTAACGTTTTCCCCATCAGTAGCAGCAGAAACAGAAGATCAATACGAACAACAACGGAATCAAAACCCAAGAATCTTACGGTGAAGAGGTCAGACTATTCTTCTTCAGACAACAATTACTCATGCAAGAAACATCCAAAGCACAGACAATCTCCTGGAGTATGTTCCCTTTGTCTCAACGAGAGTCTCTCCACATTGTCTCTCGATTTCTGTGACATTAGTTCAAGCATGAGCTCGTCTTCTTCAAGAAATGTCGATAAAACAGTGTCGTCCTCCTCAGCCTCTTCTTCGGATTCAGAATCAGAATCAGAGTATTCTTCTTATTACTCTTCGGTCTCTTCTTGTTTATCTCCTCTGCAACATCGATACAGTGAGATCGTCGTTAATAAGAAGAAAAAGAAACATCCCAAGAAACAAAATTTCCTCTCCAGATTATTTCTGTAATTGTTTTACAACATTTTTTTGGTTTAATGTATTCAATTTACTCTGTTTCTTTTTTCACCCCTTAAAATACTAAGTAGAAAATAAACACAAGAAGATCTAAACAAATCATTTTACAAATTTTCGATTAGAAATTGGAGCAAATATCTACACCACAACTATGTGCGTTTAGTTTATTGAATACCAAAATTAAAATAAAATATATGCTATAAAATGGAGAAGTATATTAGAATGTGATTATAATTTACAGTGGCCTTTTGTAATTCTGATATGTGAGAGATTTTGGAAAAAAAAAACACAGAGAATGTAGACTGAGTGTGATTGGTTGGCACATGGCAATTACCAGTTGGCAAAGAGAGTTAATGTACGTTGAGAGGACAAAGACGTGTTGTGCAGCTTCATTTATTCAGGTCGTTTGGTATTACAGGCTGCTCAAATTTAATAACTAGCCGTACCCATACACAAATGCAAATTAAAACTTCTTTATTCCTTTTAAATTATTGTAACTAATTTACTAGTATAAGACGGTAGAAAAGTAATCATTCACACAAGAGTATAACAAAATTCATTCTGTAATTTTTTTTTTGTTTTTAATAAATGATTTGACCAAAACCATGTAATATTTCTGTTGTGTTACCAATTACAATTACGCAAATTTGTATTAAACAAAAGTCTAGTATGTGTAAAATATTTACTTGGAACTTGGAAGGTTTGATCACAACTTCCTAGACCTCTTGCCTCCAAACTTGCTTGTTACATTGACTTATGAGGTTTGGTAATATTCACTGTATAATAAAAACTTTAGACTTAAAAAAAAAAAGGAAATTAGGAGGAAAAGTAATGAGTGGGGGTTGTACAAACAACTGAAGTGGTCAGTTCGTGTCTGAGAGCAGTGGTCTCGATCTAACTCAGCCGTTTTCCACGAACATTCCACGTGATGTCACGTATATTCTCTCCGTACTATCTAGCTCTCTTAATACAAATAGACATTGGCTGTTTTTTGTTTGTTATTATTTCATGCTCCTCTAAAATGTCTTAATGGATATCGATTTATCAAAGTGAAATATATTTTTAATATAATTTTGTTTTTAAAACATTTAGATTAATTATTTTGTTACAAATTATAAAGAACTGTTATAGATATGAAGACACTTCTTACTCCATGCTCATGATGAACACTATGGTTAATCGATATTTATTAAGACATTTTAGATGAGCATGAAATAATAACAAACAAAAAACAGACCATAAGGGTCTATTATAAAAGTAATATTATTTGTATTTTTTAAAATATGATGTTTTGTGCAAAAACGCAGATAAAAAATAAATATTTAAAACCATTTGTATTTATTTTAAAATAATTTTAACTAATCATGAAAAAAACTATAAAACACAAACGGTCATACATTAAATACATTTTTTTTCATAAAACATTCCAATAGTTCTATACATATGTTTTTGTAAAATGGAATTGAAATCAATAAATAATGTCGGAAAACAAACCACGATTCTGCAGGCTATCGTGGCCGTTAAATCGAATGATAGTTCAAGTTCTTGAGGATTCCACATATCTAGCTAGTACGGTCCTCTGTTCAATCTTTTAAGGTTAAAAAAAAAACCACGATTAAAATAAATTAAATAAAAAGTTGCAAGTAAAGCCCATTGGGTAAGTAGCGTAAAACGGAAACAGTGAGGAGACATAACTTAAACCCAAAATACAAAGCCCAATTTGGTTTCTCGTGTAGGTAATCTCTACAATACTTTGGGAGAAAACATAAAAAATTTGTTAGAAAGTGAAGAGTCAGAAAATATTTCGAACGAGAAACTGGTTCGTTGTGCGAAACATCTGGATAAGAAGGGAAAGCATGAACATGCACTATATATCTTTGACACTACAAGAAAAACATTCTAATTTTGACTATCAATTTGGTCTAAAATTGGTCAAAAACAGCTATTTTTTACTAGTACTTGACCAAAATCGATTCGTCAAAAATTGATGGTCGCAAATGGATTTTGGTCAGAAAATAGTCAAAACGTTTTGACCAATAAAAATGGTCAAAATTTTGGTTTTGACCAACAATATGGTCAAAATTTTGATTCTGACCAATAAAATCGTCAAATTTTTTTGATCAATCAAAATGGTCGGAATTATATATTTTGACCAATTTTAGATCATATATTCTAACAATTTTTTGACCAACTTAGATATTTAAATTTTAGATCAATTCGAAAATATTGAAATTCAAATTTAAAATATTTGATTCATAATAATTAAAATAAAATTAAATATTTTAAAAAAAATTAAAATATAAAATATTTCAAAAAAATATATTCGAAAATATACAAATTCAAATTTAAAATAATTGATTCATAATAATTTCAAAATATCCATTCAATCAGTGATTAAAATATTTCAAAATTCCACTATTTGGATTATGAAACCCATTTACGTTTTTCACAATGGAATAATTGTGATTTTATAGAGAAAGTCAAAATTTTATCCTTCCCATATTGGCGATGTGGGACAAATACAATAGAGGTGTTCTCCTCAATATTTGGTCGATAATGTTGTGACCAATTTTTGTCAAGTATTTATTCGTCAAAAATTACTCACGAAGTTTCGACCAAATTTTGTTTTAGTCGATAATTGGTAAAAATATTTTGACTATTTACTGACTACTTGTATTAGTAAAAAAAATTTGATCATATTTTGACGAGTTTAAATTTTCAATTTTTTGGTCGAAAATTTGTCAACAAACATTTTGACCATTTTATTGGTAAAAAATTTGGTAAAAAAGTAACGGTTTTCTTGACCAATTTTCAACCAATCTTCTTTGTCGCAAGTTTTCGACCATTTTTTGACAAATTTACGAATCCGTTAGAAATTGGTTGAAAAATTTCGACCAATTTTCGACTCTTATATTTCATCATATTTTCTTGACCAATTTATAATGAAAATAAACATTCGTCTAAAATTGGTCGAAAATGGTCGAAATAGTTTTGACCACAAAAATAATTATAAAAAATTGATATGTTTTCTTGTAGTGTGAATAGATGAAAGAGAATGATATGACATTCTTGGATTCTGATAATGCCAAATTCATTGATCTTCTACTGAAGACAAAAGGCCTTACGGCTGCTCAAGATTTTTACTGGACCATAGGTGGTAACAACAGGAAGAGCCTTGCTTTCAAAAAACTTGGGGAGTGGTACTCACTTAAGCATGAAGAAGAAAATTCAAAATCCGAATTTAAATTCGCGAATGAGAGGCTCGGCTACTAGGGTGGATACTTGAACTTTTATTTTCTATCTCTATGAGTGTTGCAACACTTTTCTGAAC